CCGTACGGTGGAGCGGCGGGCCTGTATGACATGGGCCCGCCGCTGTGCGCCATGAAGGCCAACTTGCTCACCTACTGGCGGCAGCACTTCGTGCTTGAAGAGAGTATGTGCGAGGTGGACACGACGTGCCTGACGCCGGAGGAGGTCTTCAAGGCGTCTGGCCACGTGGTGCGCTTCAATGACGTGATGGTGCGCGATACGGTGACCGGCGAGTGCATCCGCGCCGACAAGTTCCTCGAGGAGTACAGCGAGGCGCAGCTCAAGGACCCCGCGCTGCCGCCGGGGCGGGCGCAGGAGATGCACACGCTGCACACCCACGCGGCCGGCATGACGCCGGCGGAGATCCAGGAGGTGCTGCAGCGCTACAGCATCACGTCGCCCCGCGGCAACCCCCTCAGCGAGCCGTTCCCATTCAACCTCATGTTCTCCACGAGCATCGGCCCGGAGGGCGACCGCGTCGGCTACATGCGCCCAGAGCTCGCGCAGGGCATCATTCTCAACTTCAAGCGCCTCATGGACTCCGGCAACGCGCAGCGCATGCCATTCGCCGGCGCCTGCATCGGCACCGCGTTCCGCAACGAAATCGCGCCGCGCGCGAACCTTATCCGTGTGCGGGAGTTCACGCTGGCGGAGATCGAGCACTTCGTTAACCCCAACGACAAGAAGCATGAGAAGTTCGAGAACGTCAAGGACGTGGAGGTCTGGGCTTGGCAGCGAGAGCTGCAGGAGGCGAATGCCGATCCCATTCGCCTCACCATTGGCGAGGCCCTTGCAAAGAAGATCATTGACAACGAGACGCTCGGATACTTCATCGCCCGCACGGCGCTCTTTCTTGAGGCGGTCGGCATTCGCCACATCCGCTTCCGTCAGCACCAACGCGACGAGATGGCACACTACGCACAGGACTGCTGGGACGCTGAGCTGCTCACGTCGTACGGCTGGGTCGAGTGTGTCGGCATCGCCGACCGCAGCGCGTACGACCTCACGCAGCACAGCAGCGCCAGCAAGAGGGACTTGTGCGCCCGTGAGGAGTTTACGGAGCCCCGCACCGAGCGCCAGCTGCAGCGCAAACTGCAGAAGGGCGTCATTGGCAAGGCGTTCGGCAAGAATGCCGGCGAGGTGATGGAGTACCTAAACACCGCCCCCGAGGCGGCCTGCGTGGAGCTCAGTGAGCGTCTGGCTAGCGGCAGCGCAGAGATCACGACGACTGGTGGCTTCACCGCGACGATCACGCCGGCAATGGTGCAGTTTGACTACAAAGACGTGAAGGTGACGGGGCGCAGCTACATCCCAAGCGTGATTGAGCCATCCTTTGGCGTCGGCCGCATTCTCTACGCGCTGCTCGAGCAGAGCTACTGGGTGCGCCGCGACGAGAGCGCCAAGAATGAGAAGCGCGCCGTATTTAGCCTGCCGCCGGTGCTCGCACCGCAGAAGGTGGCGGTATTCCCGCTGCTCATGAAGCCAGAACTGCAGAAGACAGTTGAGGCGATCCGTGGCGACATGGTACTGCACGGCATCTCCACCCGCACCGACGACAGCGGAGCGTCGATTGGGAAGAAGTACGCCCGCGTCGACGAGCTCGGCATCCCGTTTTGCGTCACGTGCGACTTCGAGAACGACGGCTGCGTCACGCTGCGCGAGCGCGACTCCGCGCGGCAGGTGCGCATCCACAAGGAGAAGGTCGTGCAGGTCGTGCTGGAGTTGTGCCATCCCACGCGGCCGCGCGAGTGGGGCAGCGTCGAGGCGGAGTTCCCCGCGCAGGCAGCAGCAGCGGCGGCGGCGGCGTGATGGACACGCACAGACATGCGAGGAAAGGAGTAGGCTTCATTAAGGGCAATAAGAAGAGGAACGCAGAGAGAGAAAGAGAGAACTAATTTAAGCAAAGTTAAAGGGTGTGGCCTTGCCGCCCCCGACGGCGGCTGTGCTCCTTTTTTTTTTGGTATGATCTTTCGACCTCCTGTTTCTGCACCTGACGACGGATGCTTTCTTCCTCCTTTGCGTGCGCCGATGAGGGGCGCTTCTCCCCCCCGTGACTCTCCCGCACACACACAAACACTTACACACACGCTTTCTTTCTATTTCTCTCCTTCTGCTTCCTTGCTCGTGCCCCCCAACCCTGTGCACTCTCGCTTGTTGACGTGTTGCCACTCCCTTCCCCCCCCTTCGTGGACACACGCACGCGGGAGAAAAAGAAGTTAGCACTTGGACACCGACGACAAGATGTTTAGCCGTCTCTTCGGCAGAGGCGACAAGCAAGCGAAGCCCCGTGACAAATCACGGACGGGCGGCAGTGACGGCCCGCAATCAATCGAGAAGCTGGAGACCTCCATTGGAATGCTCGAAAAACGCGAGGTGGTGCTGGAGAAAAATGTAGAGGAGCAGCTGAACAAGGCAAAGGTGTTTCTCGCAAATAAAAATAAACCCGCCGCACTGCAGTGCATGAAGCGGAAGAAGTTCCTGGAGACAGAGTTGTTGGGCATCGCCACGCAGAGGCAGAACCTCGAGTCGTTGAAGTGGTCCATACAGAACCAGAACATGACGAGTGAGGTGCTCGCGGCGCAGCAGCAGGCGAAGGAGGTGTTGAAGATGAACAACAAGAAGATGGACGCCGATCGCGTGGAGGAGAATATGGAGGAACTTATGGAGGAGATGGACAAGGCCAACACCATCAGCGAGGCGCTGCGGCAGCCGCTCGACACAGGGGTGGTCGACGAGGACGAACTCATGGCGGAGCTCATGGAGGAGGTGGAGGACACCGGTGTGCAGCAGATGCAGCAGCAACACAAGACCGAGAAACTGCCGGAGATGCCGAGCGTTCCAACCGGCGTGCTGCCGCAGAAGACGAAGGCGCAGCAGAAGGAGTACGATGAGGAAGAAGCGCTGCGAGCACTCGAGGCAGAGCTCCAGTCGTAACGTCCTTCACTCCCTCCATTTTTTTTTCGCTCTTTCGCTGTTCCCCCCCTCCCATCGTATGCTGACTGTGTGGTTGCGTGCGGGCGTTACTGAGATGCCGGAAGGAAGGCTGAACGGAGGTGGGGTCTGGTGACGGCAGACGGCAGGGGGAAGGGACCTTGGTAGAAATAGGGCCACCCAGCCATGAAGACGTGGCGCAGGAGTGGCAGTAGCACACGACAGCCATTGCGATGATGATGATGTTGATTACAAATAGTGAACTGAGTGCGGTTGTTCTGTGCCTCCTTGTGTTTCTTTTTTCCTTGTCGGTTTCGTCACACTTGCTCCACTTCGTCAACAATATATATATATATATATATATTGCTGTTATTATTATTATATCAGTCCAGTGGAGTGCGCTGTCCGTTACGTTCTCACTGCTTCCTCCAACCCAACACATGTGCGTAAGTGACTCTGTGTGTGTGTGTGTGCTTATGTGCTTGCGCGTGTGCGGCCTGTGCTTCTGCGACGACTCCGCATTCTCTGTCCTTCTTCCCCTTCACCGTGGCACCGAAGAGTAAGCAAGGAATACCAAGAGGAATAATGTCTGCACAACAAAAGCGGCGCCATCGGACATGAGGAAAGTCAACACCCATCTTCCATCATGATGTTAAAGGCTCGCGAGATACATTTCGGTTGGGAAGTGGCTTACAAAGGAACATGGGCGGGGCGACGGTCTCCGCGCGTGATGGAAATGCCACGAGATTTCCCTGGCACCTATTTGCTTTCTGTAACTCCACCATGCTGTCTCAGCAATAACTGGAAGTGTGGGTCTCCTTTGTTTGTGCCCCAACGCTGTCTTTAACTCTCTTCTTTATTTCTCCCCACTACGATCACCCAATGTAAAGGCAATAGTATTAGCGGCCTGTATGCTGCCCGTCGTGCAGGAGTACTTGGCCCAATGCGGGCAGCGGCGGGTCGAACCGTACTACGGCTTCATCGAGCACGCCGGGGCCGGTAATGTGGTGACAGACTTGGACTTCGCCCTGCCCGACGCTGTGCGACTGTTTGCGCTGGCGTTGCTGCGTGTCAGTCAGCGGCAGCAGCAACAATCAGAAGCCACGGCAAAGGGGTCAAAGCTGAACGTGCTGGCGCTGCGGTACGACATGAACAAGGGTCCCCACCACCCGCCGCGGCAGTCAAAGCGCAAGCTGCCATACGAGACGCTGCTGGCGCGGCGCCGCCCGGCGGAGGCGATCGTCGCACTGCAGAATCGCGCTGTAGTGCGGAGCCTCGTTGACGGCGTGCGC